TAGTAGTAGTAGTAGTAGTAGAGTTTAGTAGTACCTATAGTCAAACCACGTAAGTTCATTGCCGAAGCGTCCAGGCCTTGTCAGAAGGCTTCCGTCGGGCTTTGGGCTTCTCCTCACCCTCCTGCAATTAGGACTTAGGGTGCAGGGTTCGGGGTTTAGGTTCAAAAAAATGGCAGCTACAAACGCAAAGCTATCCATTCTCCAGAGCCCTTCCGCAGCGCCAGTCCTCTGGAGGGTCTTTCAGCTTCTGAAAGACATCAAACTTGGACGCGGGGTGCCCCTGACATGGCGCAGCGTTTAGAGCCACTGAACCCCTAAACCCTAAACCCTAAACCGGAAGCTCCACTTGCCACAGTGGAGGGGGCGTCTCCTCCCTGCATAAGTTGGTAGGCTCTTAAGAAACAGCTAAAAGAAGGCATGTAGCCTTCTCGTTACTCCTGCTGTTGCTGCTGTCGCTCCTGCTGCTCCTGCTGCTGCTGCCGCTACTGTTGCTACTACCATGCTACCACTCCTCCGGGGCATAACTCTCTTTGGCAGCAGCATATAATGATTGTCGTTGCTATCATCAGTACCGGAACCCATCAACATCTCTGGCAGCTCACCGCCAGAGATACACACACACTCCGAAGCCCACACCGCTTCGACTCGCAAAAAGCATATTTCGGGCTCTAGAGACAGCTGGGTCGTGTGGCTCTGGTAAAAGACCGCCACCTAGCCAAGGTCTGCTGCCTGCTTTCCACGAGAACTTCCCGATTCCAAGAAGGCTGGGTGAACACCTGTAAAGATGCTGCAGACCTTGAAAAGTTCGAGGGTTCGTGACCCCGGGAAAAGGGGTTAGCCACAAGCTCCCAACCACTCGAAAGAGCCACGAAAACATCTGTTGTTTCGGATTTAAGGCTTTGGTGTTTCACATCTAGGCATCAGTAAGGATCAGTATCTCCAGGATTTGGTGTACATCGAGCTTGGGGTTTAAACCCTCCACCCCCCGAGGCTACGGCCGAACTTCCCCGGCGAGGGACCTGAAGCGTGGGGGGTTTTGACCGACCGCTCAGACTCACAATCAGCATAAACATTCAACTAAACTCCTCTGTAATGGCGGAAGTATATAAAAGCACGAAACGATCTTATCCAATCGGTTCACAGTGACAACATCAGCAGACTCACCATGATGGCACGAATAGTAACCACGCTTGAAATTGTCATCACCCAGCAAATGACCATTAGGGCTCTCGATCCAGATTCCAGCAAGATTGTCACCAACAACGACAAAAGCATTGATAAACAACATGTCCTCTGAGTCCGTGGCTCGCAGGCACGCCGCTTGGGGCAGAGACCGCCGCAGCAGTAAGGCCACGTGACGGCCCCGCATGGCCCCTGGGGACGAGAGCTTCAGGATGCTTGAGGGCTCGGGCTTGGGGGTTCAAAGGTGAGGAGCAGACCCCCGGACGAAGGAAAAAAGAAGGTAAATGCAGGGGAACCTTGCTGAAGCCGACCACCATGAAGCCCGCCAGGAGGCCAGACCAGCAGGCAAAGCACTTGGATTCTTGACATCTCTTGACTGTTGCACGTCCGACTTTCAGGCAGTTGCTGGAGCAATGGCAGCCTCGCCTCCGGGCCAGTGGCGCGGCGGAGGGAGGATGGCAGCCCCCCTCCCTCCGCTGTAAACATTGCGGTTCGAAGAGTGCTGGTGCTGGACACTTCACGCAGTCGCCAAATCTTGGGAGGGCCAGCTTGCACCTCCCGCCCAAACAGGTCTGCATGCTGAGCGCTCAATGCGAAACTACATGAACGAGCTCTCTCAACAACAAGAGGAAGACCTCAAACAGTCATAAAACTATACTGATCATCATCACCACCCTCATCCTCTGCATCATCGCCAACGACCATCATCATTGCAGCAATGCAGTGGCATGACGGAGTAAAGCAACAACTTCGCGTGAGTCTCAGCACAGAAGCTTGAAATCCGGTCGTTCTGCGGAACCTTGAAGATGTCGTCATGAAATTCATGTGACACGTTGAGTCCATACAGAGACACATCCGAATACCAAAAGTTTGGCACCAGATCTGGTAAATGCAGTGTTATCCCACAAAGAAAGGGGCCAAGGCCCTTTAAACTGTTCTACTCCTTTCTGCGAAGCATGAGCTCTTTCGGCTAGCCAACCTGCGGCCTTTCGCCGGAAGATCGCAACACGAGCCGTTGACGACATTCTGGGCGTTTTGCTTACAAAACCCTTTTGTTCCTGCGGCCGAAGGGGCGTCTGACCAAGATGAAGCTTGGATCACTGCTAATGGGGGATCCCAAACCACAGGGCACGGCAGCAACAATATTGGCAATAGCAATAATAGTCCTAATAGCAATCATGGTAATACTGAGAATGTTTGTAATAACCATAACAATACGTCATAGTAACATAGTAACATGGCAGCAAAGCAAGCATAGCAATCATAGGAATAAAAGGCTTGGAATGGGAAATCCCACTGTCAGCTAAACCTCACTTGGACCGTACCCGGATCCCACAAGCTCTTGCCTGAGCCAAGTCCACGGAAAGAACTCATCCAAACGACTACACCCAAAACCCTAAACCCTAAACCCCAAATAATCACGTCCTATGGCTAAGAAGTGTGATCCACGAGATGTCACCGGTCCCGTGCTGTCGATCTCAACTGACCCATTCTGGGTTGCACTGACATCACCGGGACTCCCGAATGGCATCTACTCCGCAAAACTTTGGGCTTTAGGGTTTAGAGTTTAGGGTTTAGGGCTTAGGGTTTAGGGTTCCATGCCAAGGATCCGAAAGCAGCATGATGACAATCCTCGAAAACCTTTCTGTGGCAAGGTTTGCATGGTCAAGGGGCTGGGCAGAGCGTTGCTCAGATCCACAGCCAAGAACCTGATTAACCTGTCCTGCCTTCCTTCTGCACTGCGCTGTAGGTTGAAATGATTTGGGATTCAGAGTTCGGCAATTTAGACATCCATCGTGTCACTGTGCGAGGAGGACTGAGCTAACCCCTTGGGATTCTGGAAGGCTCTAGAGCCACAGTCCAAAGCTTAAAATGCCCCTTACAGAAGGAGTTCCGGCGATTTGCTGGTGACGGACAGTCTTCTCATCAAGCCAGCCGGGGACTCTCTCTAAAAACAAACCTGAAGGTAGACGCTTAAGCCCCGTCTGAGCAGCAGTTGCTACGTTCTAAGGATACCTGGTCGTCCTGAGTATGGCGGACAACCTCACGGTGTTGCTGACGGCTGTGTTTGTCCGATTCAATGTTGCGGGCGGTTTAGGAATCTGCAGTTGTGTGTTCTCGGTCC